TACGGCCTCTGATTGCGGTAAACACAGTCTTCAAGGCCAGACTCAAATGGCCAGCTCGGAGGTCGGTATGGGTTCAGTTGATAGCGAAGAAACAGTCGAGGGTGTATGTCCATGCCAGGAATGGGATCCTCCGTAACGGTGGACAGCTTGTACGGTAAGCGGGGGTACAGAACACGTGGATGCGTGCACTTGTACCGTTTCTGACTGCCGTGGCTGCACAGAGGCGGCTCGCTGTACACATTCCATCCTTCAACCCGTTCCACAGAGCCCTTCAAAAAAAATGGGAGCGGGTCCCTCATGTACGTAATCTCAAGGAGTGGTGTGACGAAGCCACAGAATCCTCGCCCCATCAAGCGCGGCTAACACAACTCACAGCGGCCCAACCAGCTACACGGCCTCTTCGCTTCGTGCTGTGTGCTTCAAACGCAAGAAGAAAGGTAGCAAAGGACCCGATGATCGCGGAAAAGAGAGAAACAAACACGCAAAGTCAGCACCAAAAGGTATCTTTTCCTTCTGCTCGGGCACAGCAACGACGGCCGCAACCGACGCCCAGCCCCCTCTCTGTCGTCCCCATGGAGAGAGAGGGACACACCGCAAAAAACTAGAAGCGGGAGGAAAACAGAAACGCACCAACAAAACAATGAAAGCAGGAAGAAAAAAAAAACATTCATTGCAGTGAAAGTGCATGCATGCGGGTGGAGACACTTGACGACAGGGCCAGAGAAAACACGCAACACGAAGAGCACGCGAGGAAACTATGAAGACGAAATAGATAGATAGCAAGATAAAATTTTATTTACCCTAACCTGAAAGCCGACACGTTATTCGAGTTTTCTTGTGACTTTGGCGTTTGCGTCAAAACATAAACGGAAATAAAGCATGCATCCAAATGAAGAATTAAAAATTACACGCCTTACCCATTTCGGGCTTTTTCTCCAACGACGATGGTTGCTGTCATGATTTGGCTGTCTCTTAAGAAATGCACTGGAATTCGTGCCCACGGACGCACATGACGTGCAACGACAACATTGAAGGCGGCAAGCTCTGTCACTGCGTAACCAGCAAAGCGCAGTAACTGATCTCCAGCGCGTAAACCGGAGGCAAAGGCAGGTCCTTGACGTGTAGTTCCATCGGTCGCGCAAATGTAGCTTTCAGCGACTTCGCTCACGGTCAAGGTAGTGTGCTGCGTATCATCGCGACCCACAGCGACGCGAAATCCCAGATAAGGGCGTGTCGTGGGAAACCCATAGGCAGCTTTTATTGGCGTTGACCTACCCAAGTGGGAAGATGGCAATGGAATAGGCAGATAAGTGCGCGGTCCCTCATCGTCGTCCTCGTTGAAAGGAGAATGTTTTTGCGGCCGCGGGGTTAAAGAGCCCTCGGTGTAAATGAAAAATTTCCGTTGAGCTGTGCCACGACCACATGATGATAACAACATTTTTGAGTTTGTTCTTCCTGTCTCTGTTGCAGTCCATGACATCGAGCGAGGCCGTTCCTTCGGAATTTTAAGTTCGTCAGTGAACACGTTTGGAAACGGCTGTTTGAATGTTTTTCTTGGTTTTCCTTCACAGGGCCTCGTGGTGCCCGTACCACTCGGTTTTGTCCGTCGCAAATTCTCTGATGTGTTCGCTATCTCTGCTGACCTTGCAGATGAGGGTTCCACCGCCCCATTGTCACTCTTGGTCATCCGAGCCTTCGCCACCTCCGTCGCCAATGCTTGCAGCTGTAAATGTCGTTGCCAAAAACCAGAAAACATCAGTTCTAAAAGAACGGCCGCGTGACGCACAAGCCAGACGGCGTTCTTTGGCTTGCAAAGACTTCTCAATGCAAGTGGCATTACCTTTGGCGCCCCTCGTGTAGATAATTTCCTTCCGGCACCTTCGACCTCGGCGTCGCTGTGGGCCTTAAAGGAGTCAAACATGGCGACAAGATCAAGAATTAGCGGAAGCGCCTCTGTTCGTGTGGTAGGTGGAACAAATTTTAGCCAGCACAGTGAGGTGCAATATGCGGAGTCCGTGGGTTCTTCATCACGTCCTGGATTGCCCTCCGGTACGGAAAGGAGCGAGTCATGGTCGAAGGGCGCGCTGAGGTCAATGCCTGTCAATCTTGCTGCACTCACAATAATCGTCCGAAGCCGCTGCACGGTCCGATCAAACTCCCCCGCCAGTGAAAGCGGTGCGTTTGCGTAAGCTGCGGAACCCCGTCGTGGATCGGTTAACAACCTTCCCTCCGCAGCCGGCGCTGTAGAGGCAGTTCGCACTACAGAGGATTCTCCCCCAGTGGAGCACACGGACATGTTGGAGCTGTTGTAGTCAGGAGTCTCCAAGAGGTATTCAAATATGGGAAGTTGTACCGCCCGCTCATACGATGCCATAATAAGAGCCCTGTGACGCCCACACCGAATGCCTGCGGCTTTGAGGGCCCTCAACACGGCTCCCACCTGCCGCAGCGTTGCCAACTCACCGTCGAAGGCGTCATCATCCATGAATGGCAGTATTCCATCACGACTTGTGTTACTAGAAATTTTGCACCGTGACACCGAACCCGAGTCTCTTCGCCTGTGAAGAGACTCCAAGGAATCGCGATAACCAGAAAGGAGGCAATCCAAAGACTTCTGCACCTGCAGGTAATCTATGTCCGTGCGCAAAGCCAAATTATGGCACTCCACCCCATCTCGCTCAAATGCCAGCTGCGCAATCTCCAGCTCCAGGTGTTCCTTCTCTTGGCAAAGCTCTTCCACTGAAGCCGTGCTGTCCACCGCATTTTGTACAGCAATCCACTCTCGCTGCATTGTCGTCCGCTCCTCATCAAGACGCAGTAGCCTTGCCTCAAAGAGGGCATACCGATACCACTTGAGATAGAATCGTATTCGCAGCGCGCCTTCATCCACCAATACAGAAGAGAGTGGCTCAACAAGAACTAGCGAATGTCGGCCCTCTTTTTGGTTTTGAGCATACTGCATCCATCGTCTCAGGTAATGGATGCGCCACTTGTATTGATTGGGAGCCATATATTTTTCCAACAAGCAAAAGGCACGGCGGCGGCGCAGCCTTACCTCGGCTGCGGCCCCTAATCGTCTCCAGACGAAGAAGCCATCCCCAAACGTTACATCACAAAAATACAAAAATAGTCTATTGAAGGCTGTCCTCTGAACCACACTACGCCGCATCTCTCGCATGTAACGAAGCCAGTTGAAGAAGTAGCGCTGCAAAAGACGTCTCTGCTCGGCCCCACCAAGAGCATTTGCTGGGCCCCGCACACTATTCGCTACGTCACGGGTTTCATCCCGAGAGTCAAAAAAAGAAACGCATTGTAGACGTTTTTCTATGTGGGCCATGTCCAGATTATGCAAGGAGCGCCTCGTCGACAAACTCAACAGTTTCCATCGTCTGAACATCGTGCCCAGTATTCGCTCCTGCTGAAGGCTTTCTAAAAAACGAATTATACGCAGCCGTCGGTAGCGTGCCACCCGTCGGGCTCTCCATACCTGCCATCGACTGAAAGCACGTTGCAGCAGCAATTTGGCGGAGGCCACTTCCAGAGCGGAGGCCGCCTTCGCCTTCTCCTTTTTGAGGTAACCCGGTATCTCCTCAGCTTCCTCTGTCACGGACCGACGCAAAATTCTGCGAAACACGCCTTCACGCAAGCTGTTTCCAAGGAAAAAACTACGTGCACTCTCAAATTGCTCATCTAACGACTGCATCAAGGGCACATCCAGCGTCACCCCACCATACTCATCATCCAATCGAACACACGTCAGGGTTGGCCAGAGGGTCGAGTTCGAGACTTTATTACCACACGACACAGCGGGTAAAGAAGAATGCTTGATGGGAGAAGCCTTCCATGGATGCAGCCGCGACGGGCCACTACCCATGTCTTTATGCGTGGAAATTGATTGACCTAACGAAATTTTATCCGCGTGCCTGGCAAACACGTACAGGTGACCCAGTGAGACATGTGAGACTAACGGCACTAATTGCGGACGTGGGGTAATAAGATCTCGCCAGCCGTGCAATTGCCCCGCATCTGGGTGAAGCGCATCATACACGGCAACGCAACCATCTGCGCTACCAATCCAGAGACGGCAATGCAGTTCATCCACAACAAGGCCTGTCAAGGCTGCACGACTCCGATGAATGGTACACAACATTCGCCCAGCGGGTAAAGCAAACATCTTAGCCACACCATCGCAAGACGCGGTCACTAAAATCCGGTCCCGTACAAGTGCTAGACCTGTAATTCTCTGCAGATGTTCATACTTAAGTGGCCAAAGCAAGACGGCATCATCCCCCCCTCCACTGGAATGTCGCTTGTCAAGCAAGCGCTGAATGACAGGATCCGTCACTGTATTTCCCACCAACTGTTGCAAGATTGTACCAAAATTGAATTCTCGATGTTTTCGACTCTTCTTGGCTTTTGATGTCATTCGTGCCGTTGTACCCTCGCCCACTGCCCCGGAACCCAACTCTTTTGCTGTTGAAGCTCCTTCCCCATCTTCTATACGTGATATTTGGCGGGCCCTCTCCAAAACTTCTGCATTGCATTTGTCATCCTCATCACTCCCACCTTTTTCGTCGTCGTCGTCGTCGTCGTCATTGTCGTCTGCTTCGCTCATGACGGCCTCCACCTCACTGACACAGGGCACGACACCTGGACGCGGGGTGGTCGGCTTCGACTTACTGGTTTTTGTTAACCTCTTGCGAGGGTTCCGTTCTCCCGCAGTCGCAGACATTGTACGCAAAGCCTTTCTATTGGTCCCCACCGAGCAAGCCCTCGGAGTGGCACACAACGCCCTTGCATTTCGCAGCGTACTTGCCGTGGCCTGCATGGAAGAACGGCGTGCGGGTGAGACAGCGACATCTGCAGCAGATACCTTCCTTCTAGTTGGGGTAACCCACAAACGCCCAGTGGATGGGGTGGCCGCTCGTGTAGCCGCTGTTCGAGTTGCGGTTTGCGCAGAAAGTGAACGAAGTCTGTGTATGGGATGAACTTCAGCATCTGTTGTTTGTCCTACAGCGTGATATCTTCCCTTTTGAAGCGGCAACAGTAGCTCCTTATTCTTCTTCACATCCTGCTGTGGGTGCTCGGAAAGAGACACGGCCATCCCCTTCCGCTTTGTCGCCTTTTTTGTACTCTTATGGCTAGTGGACTTGCCAACCACCTGGACGCCTTCTACCAAAGACCACATCCGCAGCGAACCGTCCTCACCCCCACTAAACAGGAATGCCCCACTTACAGTTACCGCCAACGCCGTGACCCCGCAGGAATGGCCCTTCATTCGACGAAGACACCCCAGTGTTACGCTATCCCACGTTGCAATTGTAAAATCTGAGGACGCGGTTACAAAGGCAGAAATGCGAGTGAATTGGGTCTCTTCTTGCGAACGTTGGACCTTTGTCAAGGTCACAGGCAGCATACACGTGATGGCTGACTTGTGCGCACGCATGCTCTGGCGGTCTTGCAGGGAAACCGCATCTATCACCCGAAGTACTCCGTCTGAGAGAGCGGCAACCACACAATTGTGAGAAATTTGAAGCAGTGACGTCACTACAGTCCTCTCTTTGTGGGGCACAAGCTCCAAGACACTATTCGGCACAGCTGAGGATCGAATTTCAATATCTCCGTCGCTCCGCGCCAACCACAAGGAGCAACGAAGCCCTTCGCTTGACAAGGTCGATACAGAAGCAGGGGATCCGTTGGCTCCAACCCCTTTAGTGGGGGTGTCACCCTTTTCAACGCAACTCCCGCCCCTGGAACTGCTGTCTCCGCGCTGCTTGAATGACGCCCTAGCAGATACTACATGAGAAATTGTCTTCCTCGGCACCGTACGCACAAGAACAGTGGTGGCACAGCGATATGTTCCGTGGAGTTGAGTTATTAATGTCACCTCCTTGTAAGTCATGGTCAATGCTACAAGCAAGAGAATCTATACGTATACACTGTCTTCCAACCCCTGTTCCACTCTTCTTGAAGTATTGCCGCCGAGTAGAAACTTGCCTCGCTTTCTTTTGGGCCCTATATATATATATATATATATATATATGTGCTTAACTAGCAGAACCTAGTAATCTGCAAGGAGAGAAGAGCTCTCTCTCTTTCTTTCTTTCTTTCTCTCTCGCTAGCTCACACGCACTGATTCCCACCTCAATATGTGCCAGCAGATTCTCTTTCCTTTGTGATTGTACCGTCCGTGTTGGTAAACCAAAACCGGCAAAAAACAATAACGCAAGACAGCCCCCCCCCAACCCCCCCCCCCAAAAAAAAAAAAAAAAAAGACAACGCAGAAAAATATATAGCTTACAAAATGAATGAATCAAACAAAAAAAAAGTCCAGAAGCTGTCCTCCTTATCTCTTATTCACCCACCCCTCCTCCTCCTCTGCAACAGTAGCAACGGCATAGATGCACCAAGACATATACACATACATATGTATATGCATATGTATATATATATATATATATATATATATGTATGTATATATGTATATGTATAGATATATATATCATACATTCACCATATTCGAGCAGTACGTGGAAAAGTCAACGTGAATCACAAGCCTAGCTCAACACAGGAAGATGGCAACAAGTACGTATCGTAGAAACGTTCCTTTAAATACACTGAGCAAACCGAAGCTATCTCACCAAAGACCGGACACGTACACACAATACTCCCATAAAGAGACAAACACACACACACAACAAAAAAAAAAAGAAGGAAAGTTCGCGGTGTAGATGCAAACAAGAAGAAAAAAAAACGGACTTCAGGCAAAATGAAAAAAAATCCATTTCAAATAAACTAACGGCCATACACAAACACACACAAAAAAATACGAAAAAAAAATACAAAAAAAAACACATCCATACATTCATCATTGCTGCCCTCCGGTGTTCATGCCCCCTCTGTCAGCAAGTGGGAAAAAAGAAATATAAGCTCTTATTGTTGTTGATGTTTGGTAGTCACAGTGGTAGTAAGGGAAAAAGGGATATGTGGCGTCTGCATATGCTTGTGTTCGCTGTACATCGCACTTACAGATGTGTTTTGTTTCTAACTGTTGCTCGCCGTCGTTCCTCCCTTCACCTGGAAGCAGGGGTAAATCCAAACTGCGCTCTGTTGTTCCCGTCTCCTTATCAATCACACCCCAGGAACTTGATACAGCCAGTGGCGAGCAGGGGAAGGTTGAGTGTCCATGCCAAACCCAAAGTGATGCTATTGGACAATCACACACACGGAGATGCGCACACAGTAGAAAAAATAGTTCTGCACTCATGGGCAATGCACGGACCGTGCAATGCTTCTTCCCTACCCATCTTCCAAATATTATTATTTTCTTCTTCTTCCTTTCCACTTGTTTTCTCCTTTTTTATTCTCCTGATTTATTATTGTTTCTTTTTTTCTTCCGCTTTTCTCATGGTACGTGCGTGTGCAAGGCTGAGGTGGGGGAGTAAGGAGAATTCCCCTACCTCTTTTTTTTTTTGTCATTGCTTCCGTCTTTTCACGTGCTTCACTCAACCCCCACCCCCTACCTCCTTTTTTTTTTTTTTCGTTTTTTGCTTTCGTTTGTTTCTCCCCTCGTTCGGGGTGAAGCTGCATTCTGCGCATCGGCAGTTACGTAGAGCAGCAGGCCACCATCGCCTTTTTTCTTTCCCCCCTCCCTTTCTGTTGCTGTTTCTTACGGGGGGGTTTTGCACTCCCGCGCCACCACCGGAGACATATCTTTTTCCTTCTCCCCCTCGTCATCGCCGCAACTACCCCCGGTGCCGCTGGGGGTTCCTGATTTCGCTTCGGCTTCGTCTACGTGAAGGCGGGCACGAAGCCGCGCATACCAGTCCTCGTCCCCGACACCATCCTCGCCACCAATGCCAACCCAACCCGCATTCGTATTCGTATTGCAAGCAGTGTCCTGCTCAGGTTCACTTTCGTAGAGCTTATGTTCCTCGTAGACTATGGCGCTATCCGCGCCCACCAATCCACTTTCGAAAGGATATGCCCCATTAATTTGTGAGGCATGGCCCAATGAAATAAGGTCTGTAAAAGACGGAAAACCCGTATTCTGAGGAGCGTGCACGGTGGCCCGCCCGTTCAAACGGCAAGAGAGGTGGTCCGGTGGATCATCACTGGTTGCGTACTCCACAGAGAAATCCATCAAATCACAAATCATGAGTCGATCTGCCGGCAAATGCTCGCGTGGCCTCAGGGAACTGCGATAAATCCTAGAAACAGACAATGACGACAGTGTTGAAGAGGAAACTTCAGAATGTAAAAATGTGTTGTCTTTGCGATGTTTAGCATTATCGCCCCTGCTGCACTCGCTTTCTTCTTCGACCATCCAATCCCCAAATTCCCCCCAATTTGCTTGTGTCGTCAAGGCGTTTTCTCCATAGAAGTCAGATTGAACTAAAGGATTTACGGGGATTCTCGCAGCCATCACATCACCCTCAGCTCGGGTTGTATGTACTGCGGAACGACAACTACTGGTTCTAATACTTTCCGACGAGGATACCAATGACTGGTGCAGATGCTTGCGCAGGACAGCTTTGGCATTTATTAATTTCCTTGTGGTTTCAGCACTACCCAATGCACTTTGGGTCGAGCGAGTGTTGCTCCCCAAGCTAAGCTCTGCCACTGAACCCACATGACTATGCAACTCCAAAACAGTGGAGTTTGGCGACTTCCGTCCACTCGCAACCCGGAGAAGTCGCGGCGTAGAATCCCCCCCAGTGCGAGATGACATCTTAAATCGTTGCGTTCCATCCCACATCGTCCCACCATGTATGCTCTCATGTTTTTTACGAAATGATGCACTTGGAAACAGTGGTGAAGTTGTGTTACTTGTAGAAACTGACTTTCGCTTCCCCCTCAGTTTCTGACGCTTCGAATGGTCACCAACACCCCCTGCAGAATCCTCCATCGTGACTTGCTGCACCTGTTTCTCCTTCGAGGCGGCGCCCAATTTATTCTCAGTTGCACCAGTTTCTGAACCCACATCCTCCCCTTCAATACCCACAGCGTTTAAAAAAGATGAGGGTATCTGCGCAGATTGATCCTTTTGCCCTTTATCATCACCGCTGAGACTAGTATTTCTTTGTTCTTTACACTCACTGAATGCTAACGATTCAGAGGGAACAGCCAAGTGGTGCTGGTCCCGTTCCTTCTTGAGGAGGCGGCGTTTGCCAGCTTTGCTGCGTGAGTTCGGTGAGCATACCTTCGCATGTGCAGTGCCACGGAAGCATTGCATCGGCCAACAAACAGCCATGCCCATTGTGTAACGCTCACAAAATTATGGCTGCCGCCACCCGTGCCCCTCCCCTTGCAGCTTCGCCCGTCGATGTGCGCTACCGTCCTCAAACAAGCACACACGCACCGTGCCCGTTGCCTACCGTCGTGATGCAGGCAGCAACGTTGCCACAAAACCCAAAGGCTGCACAAAAAGAAAGAGAAAAAAAAAGACAAAAAAAACTAAACTAAACTACAGCATCAGCAACAACAACAACAACAGTGAGGACCGAACACGCACACGCTAACAAACACGAGAACGCCTCGCGGTGAAAAACGATAAATACCCAAAACATTACATCGAGTAACCTGAAAGCAAGAGGGGAAACAAATAACAAAGAAACATCAAATTTTCCGTCTTTCACGGTTGTCATGGCACTAGCTGGAACGTGCCTCAGAATTCATCGTGGCGTGGCCGTCTTTACGTCTCTGCCCTCTCTTGACATGCAGGAGCAACACCAAATACGCGTCACGATGGGGTCTTATCCCCCCTCTTTACAAAGGAGATCAAACAAAAAAAAAAAACAATGGGGAGTTGCGGTCTGATTTCAGTGCAACCAATGTCTCGCAATTCAACTGAGATTTATACAACGGACGTCTGCACCCTAAATCCAACGTGTCCGCGACACATCTGGCCATAATAACCGGATTCTCACTATAAAGTCATGAATTGGCTATTTTTGAGGCGTCCGGCAGTTGCGGGACGCCTCCACGCGGGGTGAAGGACATTAGTGGTGAGGTAGTGGTGGTAGTAAAAGAAGTAATGACAAAAACAAGAGCACGAACAAAGATAAAATATTCCCACTTCCCTCCCAACACGGCATCGTTAGAAACACAACTCGAGTAGCAAGCAACAAAGCGAGGTGGAGCTGTACAAAAGCCGTTGTTATCTACAGAACCACGCTCATTCGCATATGCTTAATCACAAGCATCAGAAGTAAAAAAACAAAAAGGGAAACAAAACAATAAAATGCAGTACATATATGATTCTTTACTTTGCGCCGGATCTACACTAATTGATATATGTGGGGAATGGGGATTAAAGGAAAAAAGAAAGAAAAATGCATACATGCGGGCCCCAATAACTATGGTGGCATGTTTATTAGCTCCTCAGAAGGAAGGTAAAAAAGTGGAAAAAAAAAACAATTCCAAAATAAAGGCAAAAAAAAAATGACTAAAAGACAAAGGAGGAGTGAAAAGGGAATAATAATTGTTTTCCTTCCCACCTCCCCTCCCTCCCTTTTGCCGCCTCCGTGCGGAGAGAGAGGCCCACAAAGGCCTGCTTGGATTATGGTTCTCGAATTCAATTTCTGTCTTCTGTTGTTTGGGGAAGAAAAGAGGAAAAAACCCACGTTTGACTCGGCTCCCAGGCGCACCCCCTCCAACCTCCACAGAGCTAAGATCTATATATATATATATATATACTTC